ATTTATCTACCATATTCATTTACAAAAAGATTCTTATTAGTTTAAATTTTGTGATTGGTGGGGGTTATTGAAAGGAATGATTATTTTTTATTATTGTCAGAATATTAACATTATATTTACATTTTAATTAATTATATATTTAAATTAATTGATTTTGTATTTAAAAATATTTTATCATATAAAACTATATATAAGTCATTTGAATATAAAATAAAGACAAAAAATGCAATACTTTCTTCCTACTTTCTCTCGTATGCTTGAATTCTAACCTTAGTTTACAAGAAAATATTTAGTTATTAATAAATTTAACACTTGATGTGGTTAAAATTATATGGTTTGAGTATTTATTATTTGATTGATATGTAAAATTCTTTAATTTAAAATAATATAAGCTTGTCATATATAGGTTTTTTTTTTTATTTACCTCTTGATATCTAATAATTATATTATATCTGATTAATTTGAAATTAAGTCGCATTAGGTCCTATAAGGGGACCTCTTGGTATCCAATATCCTGTAATCGATAACCATATTTGATCTGATTAATTTAGAATTAGACCATGTTGAATTTCATAAAAAAAAAAAAGAAGCTCTTCAACATTTATTTTTATATTTACAAAATTTAAATTTAAAATTTTATTTAAGATTAACTGCTTTTTATTTAAACCAACAAATCGTTAGTACCCGTGATATATAGTAGTAAAACAGATTTTATAACTAGGATCCTAAAAAATAAAAAAAATTATTGTACAATTGTGTAACATTAAGCTTTAGGTGAACAAATTATCTCAATCCAATACTTTGTGCTTTGGAATTCAGTCTAAATTATTATTATTTTTAATATATATATATATATATATATACAGAAGTACTGAGATCTGGTAACGGTCGGTAGGTGTAGATAATGTGCGTCATGTCCCATAAAAAAGCCGGTAACGCCGAAGGCAAGACGCAAGTGCTAGGTGATTACTTTTCTCTTTTCCTATTAATCTATTATTGCTTGACTTGACTCAGCTTGGTCTTCAGACTTCGCGTTATTCCCTTGTACCTTTATCATCATAATTAATCATGTCTTGTCTTT